AAATTGCATTTTTAGTTACACAATATTGTACTTGCAATCAATTAAATATGTTATATCACAAGGTTATTAATCTCACGAGGTTTTGGATTTGTTTACAAAATGTGATTGGAAATGGTGGATATTTGTAAACAACATTTAATGTAAACATAGGTATTATCAGTATATTCAATTGTGACAGCTAGAAAAATAAATCTTTATCCAATCAGCTGTTCATTATTTCATAGATGACATATTCTCCAAACAGATCTATGTAATTGATACGCTATATGAAACTTTGTCGGTTGAACTCCTCCGCCATTTCTTAACCGATTTTATCCATTGACGTCTCATTGGAAAGAGCGTGTCGCGTAGATTTGCAAACTGGCCTTACATTTTTGAAAAAGTCCCTTGGGCTCTGCCCCTGTGCCTTTGAAAGTTCCCATGTTATCCCTATGAAGAACATAATTGTTTACATTTTGATCAACTGTATAATTTAATTGCTGTTATTTAATTTTTAATACAATGACACGCATTGAGTGCATTTATTTACTATTTGAGTTTGTGTAAACATAACCCCCAAGACGGATCGTGTTAGTATGGTTGTATCTTAAATTTGTGTATTTATCGTTGTTTTGTGTCGCTATAATTTGTTTATTTATTGTTTTTTTTTCTTTTAAATGCCTCCGACGCGACGACAATGAAACATAGTCAAGAGGCGTAATCGTGATAACGACCGTAGCTACAGAACAGTGGTGCGTAATAGCATTAACTATATAACACTAACATTACATAGTGTTATATTGTCAATGGTAATAGCCTTAATTCATCACAGTCAGCCCCTGACCCTGGACAATCTCAACTATTAGGTTACAAACACTACCCCAAAACGACTTTTCGTTCTCAATTGTCCCTTTATCAATGACCTGTGTTGCCTGTACAGCGAGGCATTTTGAGAAGGAGAAAACCGGCCGCAATGCTTTAGGTTTATCAATAACGAAGATAAACATGGTCTGAGTTACACACTGGTAATCTCTTTTAAACCCATTGTAAACATGACTGTTATTCGTTTTGAAATAACTCCTGTAATACTTTGCAATTGCTCGAATTCGAGCAACATGTACACTAGTTATTAGTATTTCATAAATGACGTATGTAGTAAACATTGGAGAAAACTGAACAAAAATCGCAAAAATCAGGTTTTTTGTTATTTTATTTCTCAAGTAGTGAGGGAGGCCATATTTAAATGGCTATAAAGACACTCTCACCCATCCAGCGAAAACTATTTGGATCATGAACGGTGCTCTATATTTCTTGGAGTGGGCCTCGTAAATTGGAATTTTGGCATTACAGACAAAATGACAGACAGTCAGACAAACAAGCAGACTGAAATTGAGATGAAACTCGTTTTCGCTTTCTTATGGTATAAAACGTAAATAACCAAAAACTTCATGATTCTCATTCTACGCTAGTACAGACAAAACTGTTATTTTATTTAAATCGTCTTTAAATCTATCGTAAACAAATAGTTACTCATACTTTTATTTTACCATGAATTAATTATATACATACAGACAAAACGCAGTCGTACTTATTGCTTTTTTTAAGGAAGATCTTTTGTGTATTGCCACGAAACTGTGAGGTAGAATCAAAAGTAATAACTTTATCGTTATGCAAATATCTATAATGAGAATCAAATGATTATTGTAAAAGCTGATATATATTTTATATTTTAAATAATTCTTTAATTAAGGTTCCTGTGTTAAGAGAGTTTATTGAAAAACTGATATTTTACTGGGCACATCAAGGCATTTCATTCAAGTTTGCGGTTGATAGGTGTGTGGCTTACGGTTTTCTCAAAAGTTCATAATCCTTATTAGCCTAATAATATAGTATTTAATATTCCAAAAACATTATGACAAGTGGGTGTTACCAAAAATATATTTTTTCTGGCGGCAACAAGTTTCTAAAATTAAAATTTATATTTATAAATCATCAATAGTTATGAATTCCCTAAGTTCAATATTTTGTAGAACTTGTAATTTCATTTTGTACTTGTAATTTATTTTTGTATAATCATGTCTGTGTCTGTGTCAAAATTAACATCCTTTGTACCATGGTAGCCATAATAAGGCTGTTATAATAACGATCACAAAAATAACGAATGAAAATCCTTGAATATTAAGAACAGAAATAGTCATGCCACTGGTCGAAAGTAAACATGTTTTTATTGATACTTAGCTTAGTTTAAAGTATTTTATACTTTTCCTAGCAATCAAGTTGAAGATATTAACGACATAGAATACAATATTATATTATTATCTACGACTTAATCTTCACTTTGATTTAATCCTCCCAACATTTTATTCCGTTTATTGACTTTAAATCCAATTGTCAAAATTGTTGGTTCGGTACAATTATAATACCGGTTTGGTAAAATATGTAAACAAATCGTTAAACTAATGAGCATAAAGTGAGAAAGACGAAGTGATAGGCGTGGGCAACGAGCTAGGGCATAGGCACGTGAAGACAGAATAAACTAGAATGGAGAACTGGCAACAGCGCACGCGAGAAGTAGGGGGGACAAACACACTGCTCAAGCGCTACAATGCATTAGTGGCATCCTGTCCACACACTGTTGATATATACCGAATTGCGGCATGGTGCCACCATTAAAAACTAGAGTGTTTGATGTTAAAATGGAGTGTTCATTAGAAATATCGATGTAGACAAGGTTTTGGTACCTTCCTTCATCCACTGGTTGCCGCAGTTTGAAAGATGCCACAATTAGGTGTTTGCGAGTATTAGGTAAAGACCCGTATGTGTGTGTGTGTGTGTGTTCGTAAGCACAATAATTTGAGCAAAAATTATCCCATTTCGATGAAATTTGGTACCGGTACAAACGTGTAAAGCTAGGTTACTTCGAACGAATTCGCGAACCAGCATGATCGGACCATGGGAATGGGGTTTTATGGGGGGATTTACGGGGTAAAAATTGGTTTTTCTCGTTTTTGACCCTCAAAACATAATATTTTCCGAATTTTCTCTAAACCATTTTGAAGAGCTTAAAAAACAAATAATGTAGTATATTGAAGTGTATTTGTATGGTTATTGCTTACGGAGAAAATTGTAAATTAGAAATTCCCGTGTTATTCTTCTGGAGAATAAATAAACAGCAGTTGAAGACTCATTTTGGAGAACACTCCGGTACATCACATTAAGCTATCATTCAAACCTAATCACCCTCCTCTTGCTTGTAGTTTGCTTGTTTATGATTTGGATCAAACTTGGCAAATCTATTTATTTTATACTAAGCTATTAATATTTTACTAAAAAACACACTTTATTACCCTCCCTGCAGGGAGGAAACCTAGGTGCTCGTTAAACCTAATGTTATTTGAATAGATTTAATTGAAAATCTAATCAGGCAAATGGAAATTCGCTTAGTCTGAAGGTTTGCTGCGGCGGGGGTATTTTCAATCTCCCTCTGCCTTAATTGGGCATTTTCTTTCTTGAGGAAGTACTTTTGATAAATAACTAGGTAAATTTTCAAAAAATGTTTGGTAAAGCATTGCTAGACAACTTTTAACTGGTCCCGTTTTACAGTCAAAATAGAACTGTCCAGTTGAGTCACTGTAGCCTCCCGCACTATGTATCTCTCATCAAAATGCTTTACACACTCTGGAAGATTTAATTATTTTATAATCACTCCGATGAATAGCTCTAAGCCATGTTTCAGTTCTTGTCGTATTTTTGGGGAATGAAAAACAGTAACATGTTGTCCTGGGTCATAGTTACTTTTACAGCCTGGGACGCAACACTTGTAAGGCATAATTTACCACGAAGCAAAACATAATTTTAAACTACACAACTCATGAGCCGAACACCACAAAAGCAATGACAGTGACAGAGGCATGCAGTATGTAAACGAACATGGCGACACACTCACACAAAGGGAGTTTTTCCAAAAGACCGCATATTGTCTATCACTATATGATCACGCCTTATAGCGGGTAGCAGCCGCCCTCAGTTGTGACATAGCGCCTGAAGTGGTTGGGAAGCAGCAGGGCCTGTATATCTGGTGCGGCCTTGTTTAAGGCAGTGGCGTTGGTGTGTGGCATTATCGCACCACCATGCCTATTGCCATGGTAATAACAGGAATACCTAACAAACTTGTAAACATAAGCATTGCACACCATCCATTATAAATTAGCAACAGCTGTTTAAATACGCCGGATCTGCGACGTTGCCACTTTTGTTTTGCAGCGGACTAGTATTAAAGGAGGCTATGCTACTAGCCTTGTCTGCTAGTAGACAAGGTTGCCACATAATATGTCTGTCTCACAGTTCTTAGCCCTATTTACTGAATTACTTAGCCCTATTTACTTGCATGTATAATTGTACGTGAAAATACAGCATAGCATTGTTGTAGCCCATTGCAAAACCACAGAGAATTTAGGTGCAGAGGAAACACGCTAACAGGACATCATGTGCTTTCAGTTCTCGTGTGTTGTGCTGGAAATATACTTATGACGAGCAAGGAAGCGCCCAAATGGTGAACACTGTGTAAAAATTGCTATAGCACAAGGCACAGGGAATTACTCTCCATCGTGAGCGTTGAAGTAGGCCTACATGAAGGCAAGGGGAGTGGTGTTGGACTTTGCCCTAGACACCTGCATTTAAGTCCCTTCTAAAATTTAGTTGGTTTAAGGGGGTTATTTACTGGGTTCCCCTACCACTTTCTTAAGCATAATGTATATGCCAGCTGATCAGCTGTTATTTCAAAGTTAGGGTGAGGTGGAGGGGATGGATCGCTACCCTTCAAACCACCTACATTTGTGAACATTGTATGCTGCTAGACGCCACTTAGGTGTACCATGGAGTGTACCAACTGTTCCTTACTTCTCTGTGACAATGACTGGTAAGTTTACCGTACTCCAGCTGACTATAATAATAATTAAAATTAAAAATTATTAATTAATTATAGTACATGTTATACTTTGAATTTTACAAACAGAACTTACTTTAACTATTGGTAGCTTTTTCCCTTCTTCATTCTGTTCTGGAGTGAATCCTTTTGTAGCTACAGGTAAGTCTTGCATCTTTATCCAGAGCCAGTGCACAAATATGATAGTTGGAACCATAACAATTGCTGCCAGGTTCCTAGTTAGAAAACTCGGCTTCTGTGGATGTTTATCCATATCCTTTAACACATAATACTGAATTAAATATAATATCTTTACATTTTTACCTTAACAAGATTAGGGACATAAAACTCAAGATTAGGGACATAAAACTACATTTTTAAATGATTAGAAACCATATAATTTAGAATGGTGTACAGGCAGTGGCGGCGATAAGAACCCGCCGTCATCCACGCAAGCTTATTTACTGGGCCTACCTCTCCAAATAATCTTTAAAAAAAATTATCACAGGTATTTCCACCTAAACTTGCACTTTTACTTGGCTCGGCATCTCCTGAGGCACCGAGGCATCATCATCGTCTTCCATGATCGCGGCAAAATCGAGGATACTTCCCAAATTCATGGAAAAATAACCATAGTCAACCATGATTGGGATCAGTTGCTGAAGGTCTAATTCCCGGAAGGTCTAATTAGACCTTCGACACACATTTTGCAGTTTGTACTTGTTTCTGAGGGTCTAATCTGGTAGTATGTCGAAGGTCTAAGTCCCGGAAGGTCTAAGAATACAGTCAATGCAAAAAACTCATCCACTGATACTGTTTTAGACCTTGCGAGATTAGACCTTGGGCACACAATGTAACTTTTTTAAATAAATGTTTATAAAATGAGAGTTGCTGAAGGTCTAATTCCCGGAAGGTCTAAGATTTGAGTCCCGGAAGGTCTAAGATTTGAGTCCCGGAAGGTGTAAGATTCGATTCCCGGAAGGTCTAAGATTCGAGTCCCGGAAGGTCTAAGATTCGAGTCCCGGAAGGTCTAAGATGCGGGCGGGCATTGCGTCGCCATAGATGAAATTTGAGGAGAGCCTGCAACTGTTTAGGGCCTCTGAGGGTTATGAGTATCACAATAACACATCATGCAAGGTGAATATGTAACTTAAATTTGTATATATCTTTTCAATAAGGTTATGGTGGAACTGATTGTACTATTAAAAAATAGGTTTAAACGTGTAAACCTAAGTTATGGGAAATAGAATTATAGCAACAAACATGATTAAGATATTTTTAGAGTGAGCAGTCCGAAGCTCTTGATGGTTAATTCTCCCTAACTTGAACTTCAGTACTTTAGTAATCGTCTGTCACACATAGGGGTGTGCGATGCATCGAAAATGCATCGAAATTTCGATTCGATTCGATTCGATGCATCGAATCGCGATTCGATTCAGTGGTGGTCAAAAAACGATTCGATTCATGAGGGAGTCAGTATCCATATACGAAAACGCCTGCAGAAAGTCAATGCAATACCCGCAATACAGGAGCGCGTTGCTGTTGCGTTTCCTTTACGAAGGCGTTCTTATTTAATACATTCTTTGCATTAAATAGAGCTTTAATTGTTTTATATTATTTTTTGTTTTGACATTGCAAATGATGAGAGGTTTTGTTTTTTGTCTTAATGTAAGCAGTGTGAGAAATATTTTACTACTGTAAACCTAGCCAAAACAAGATATGTTACTCCAAAATCATTTTAAAAATAAGTCTGAAAAATTGTTACTTAATACTTAACTAGTAAGATTAATGTTATAGACTGATACATTTGGTATTTTTGTTAGGGGTCTGTTCGGGCAAACGAAAAAAAAGAATAATTTATTTCCAAAGAAACACTTATATTATTATATCTATTATTACAGAGGAATTAAAATGTTCAAATGAGAATTAAAGATTAAGTTGGCTCACGACCTTTAAGAATAAAAACACAACAGAGCAATTGCCGCACTGCCACTAGCCAGAGCCAGTCTAGTCGTCTACTGACAAGAGTGACAAGACAAAAGCCGTGACGCAACAGTAATAGTGCAAAGAAAACAAATTCAAAAGAATAGAAAGACTATTTATTCAGACATACTAGTTTAATCATTTATTGTTTATTCCATACCTAATTAAAAATATATTTTAGTATTTTACATAATAAATTATAAACAAAAGAAATATCTGATATAGTGAACAGATCTGTATCTTGGTTGGATGGGGTTAAAAAAATTTACAACTCACAAATTACAATGAATTAATTTCTTTGAAAATGATCTGTAACAGTTTTGTGTTTTTGAATAAAGAAATATATTTTTTTGTCTCTACTTCCTTGTTTCATCACTTGCATTTTGTCAGCAATTGAAGCAACTGGGTAGCAACCGGGTGGTTTAAGAGGGGAGGAGGAGGGCCTATGACCTTGAATGCACACATCGTTGCCGGGCCTGGCTGGTGAGAGTGATTCATTGTTTTTGTTGACATACTACTACCCTTCCTTCAGAGAAAAAGACCCTGCTGTTCCAAAAACATTGAGGGTAGTTTAAAAACATTGACCTGTGTTGCCAAGGGCACTAGAAGTTAGCATTTAACTTTCTTATCTCTTGATTTAATATTATTTTAATCTTCTACATATTATTTAAGAGTTACTTTTCAGGTAATTAGGTACCCGAAAAGTAACTCTTAAATAATATATAGATGTAATATTGTGATATTGTTTGGCTTTATTTTATGGATTTTTAATTCTTTTCAAAATCAAAATCAGTTGTTTTAGGATTTTAATCTCTTGCAGTAGGTCTATACTACTATATGACATGATATGCATTTTTTACATTCCTTAATAATTATACCATAAACAATGTTTGTGTGTTATTTACTGTTTTTGAGTTTTATAGTAAATTAGTTTACACAATATCTTTTCTTCAATGAGTTCTCCACTTGTCATGTTGCTTAGCCTATTACTATTTTAGGCCCTATAAAAAATAATGCCTATGTAAAGCTGTAGGCCTACTGATGCCAATAATAGATAGTTCTTTATTTATGATGATGTAACAAATAATGTAAGTGTGAGGTTATTATACTAAGGAGGTTAGGAGGCAGGGAATGAATGATACATATTGCATGGTGGAAACATATTATTTTTATTTTCTTCTTACTTGCAGTCCTGAAGCCGGTCCTCAGGCTCTAAACTTGTGATATGTAAATTTATTTCTTAATGGTCTTTTTATATTAAGTTCCATTCAAATTTGTTGTAATTTAGCTACCGGTACCTATTTAGTTATTTAAACAGTTATTAAAATGAGAATGAATGTCTTGATAAAAAAATATTTTCTTCTTTCTTGCAGTTGAGCCAATTCCAAGTAAAAATTATGAAATAGGCAAGTAAAGCAGCTCACTGGTATTTCCAGCAATACAGGTTATTCTAATCCCTATGATTGAAAATAAATATTTTTTCACATAAAATTCATATGTTAAGTATGAATAGGCCTAATACCACATCAACAAAAATTTGTATTACACAAATGTGGTAAATTTTAATTATTGTTAATCCACTCAATTGACAATTATGAATAGAAAAATACCGTATCGCTTCGAATCGAGTTGCATCGAATCGAATCGAAAATCTTTTGAATCGAATCGTTGCTTCGAATCGAAAATTTTTTGCTGCTTCGCACACCCCTACGACATTAATAACCAATTTTGTTGAATAAATATTAATATATTTAATACATCATTGGCCTGTGAGGACAGGGTTTAGGTTTCACCGTAGTATCTACGGTAATAGCTTATCTAGAGTTATTATTTGCTTGAAATTAATTATTGCGATGAACAACTACAGTACACTAACGATAAACAGACAGTAGAATAAAGTAACAAACAGTAGTAGAGCTCAAAAGTATATTTCTAACCTTTATATCACGGTGGATTCAGATTGGACTTACGAATTTGCTTGAGACGCATACCCAAAACAGGGAGCTAAAATTTCCCGTTCTCCCTGTGAGCTGCCACCCTGACAGCTGTCTACCTGGCTCGCAGACATGGCTTACGTCCCCAGGATTAAAACCTTTTCGACCCTTTACTAATTGTTGTGGTTTTCGTTCCCCAGCTTTAGCCATAAACATTCGTGGCTTTCGGCCGGCGTAGACTTCTTGACGGCGTAGGTGCATCCGGCGGTAACTCGCGTGCCGTTCGGCGAATTCGCCGTCAGTCAGGCCGCAGGCGCGTGACGGACATCGTGTGAAAAAACTTATACAAAAACTTCCATAGACCAACGCCACATGACAGTGTGAAAGAGGTCTTAGATTTTTTATTCAAACAGTTTTTGAAAAAGTTAAAAAAAAAACAATTTAGCAGCCATTTTTCCAATATGGCCCACAACTTTGATTTATATTATGGAAGACCCTATATTTTATGCTAAAAGTAAATAAGTCTTAAAATTGCTTCCACTTTCCAAAAAGGCCATAAAATACCTAGTTTTTTTATTTTAAAATGTTGTGCCATAGGATCATTATCTTTTATGTTTTTTTTAATTTAAGGTCCTTTTAGACTGTATATGAAATTTTCAGACTTTTTACCCTTAGCATTTTATCTCTAACTTACTCATTTAAGAGATACATGGCGTCGAATGTAGGCCCCTACACGGCACGTAATTTTTTTTTTAGTTTTAACACACTGTAACTCCTAAATGAGTAGCTTTAGAGAAGAAATTCAAAGAATAAAAACTTTTTCAATGGCATATACTTTCTAAATAAATCATCAACTATAGAGTCTTATATTAGGGTCTAACGAACCCTAACCAGTCGCAAAATAGTTAGTAATCAGAATTTGGTTAGGCATTTTCCTTATAGAATATGAAAAGTCAATTGCACCACCTTAGGAGGATTACCACCACATATATTTACACTGGGCTAATAGTAGTTTTTGTAATGTCGAACAGAATCAAATTTAGGGTTATGTTATGTCAGTGGGATGCCTTTACTTTACACTTATTTTGTCAAACCTTTACAAAATGAGCGTAGTCCTAAACATAGAAATAATAACTGTGTCGAGATGATTCTAAAGTTATTTAAACAATACAATAATTTGTTTTACATTGGAGCTTTTTAGGGACTTATGTCCCTACAAGCCACTAGTGTTATT